GAAAAAAAGAAAGAAAAAAAAAAAGGATGAAGAATATGACATCACTTCCTTTATGGTGAGACACCGGGGAAGATACTTCAGTAAAGAGCAAACTCTTTTTTCATTTCCCCCCCCAAACTGCCAGCCTTTGACATGTCATGCTGCACATCTCCCGAAAATATAGTCAAATTATAATTAAACAGACGCCGCGCCCAGGCACCATCCCCTCAGCCGGATTAAAAGGGGGCTGCGCACAACCACCAGGTGCCGGGAAAAGATGAAGAATAAAGGACAAGCGCAACTTCAAAGAATGGATGGAAGAGGGATTTCGCACCGTTTCACCTCAAAACCCACAAGAGCGCCCCCCTGAGGGTTCAGGTTTGTGTGAGAGCTGTTTGGGCCGCCTCTGTGGGTTACGGTACATCTCCTTTTCATCAACCGTAATAAAAACGACATTATGTTATTGGTGTCTAGTCACATGACCAGCAACAAGAGTGATTAATTACATATAATAGATAGACATACACAGGCTATATACACATACATACACACACACACACACACACACACACATACACATACACTGCTCTCTGCCGACTCGACCCTGGGGCTATTCTTAACCCTCACATCATGACTCATGGTGGGGGAGGGGTCGGATAGGGGGCAGCCATCCACCTCATATGCTGCTATTTATGAATATCGAAATGCTTTTACATTCACTGGCTACAAGCTGATGGACACTGAATAACATTAATATTGAGGGGAACAAAGCCCCCCCAAGCACGTTTTTCTGCCTTCTTTCCTTCTTTTGCTCCCTCCCCCAAGCTGAAGTGCAGTGCACGAGTGGCGGCACCTCCGCCCCTACCCATAATGCCACCTAAAAGCCCTGCATGACTGGCTACGGGCAGGGACAGATTATGGCTATTGATCGCTGCCTGGAGATGGATCCGTGTGAAGGAGGAGGGGAGGTGTGTGTGGGGGGGGGGGCAATCGATCCCATCCGGTGGGGAGGCCACACTTCAGAATGAAGGTCAGCTGCGCTTCATCTCACCTATTAGAGACCCCCACAGCCTTCATCAGCACCCAGCCGTGGGCTGGTGTCTACTACGACCCCCCCCCCCCCAGAAAATAGGGACACTCGCAAAGGGCCGAACTGGAACCTTACCACCCGAGGAGGTAACAAGTGCCCTCCTCTTGTGTAAGACACACTGTAAAGAGAGCCCCCACCCGCTCCGTTGAAAGGATGGAACTCACGTGCGATGCTCCATGTGAAATTCCTCGATGTGAAAATCGATGCTGATTTTCTGTGGCATGGGAGCACTTTCATTAGTGGGACCTTGTCTGGAGAGCTCATACTCGGCCCTGACGATCCAGCCCCTCTCCAGGCCAGGGGCCACGCCCGCCAAGGGCCAATCTTCCCATGCGGCGCAAAGGACACTAGGGTCTCCTTAACCCCCCCTACTGTGCGTAAGTACATACCTGCAGACGGCTAAGCGGGACCGCAGGATGCACTCGCCAGGTAAAACTTAGTGGGTTCGTCTTGGAGACCTCCTCAAAAAGGCCACCCCCTCGTCAGCATTTCTATACATGACTGGGAAGGCAGTCCACCACAAATTCATACATGTGGCCCTTTTCGACAGAATGGCCATGAATTATATCAGCTGTTCTTTTTTGTTGCTGTGTTATTAATAATGAATGAAACATTACGGGCAATTTCAAAGGGTGATGTAATTTACCGTCTGCCCCGCGGGGACGATCCCCCCCCCAGCCGAATTAAGTCATGCCGGGTGCTTGGAAGCAGAGCCACTCCCAGATTATCATTCTTTATTTTCACGGCACCGTAAAAGGGTCGCAACCGGAGGGCCGGACGGCTCAGTGCCGCCGGCTCCAGATCAGGGTGTGAGGAAAACCGTGAGCCAATAAGAGATAGGGGCGCCCAGTTCCGGTGAAGCACCGGTGGTCAGTTTTCAATATAAAATCCAATTAGCAGAAGCGGCCCTGTGCCGCAGATTCAAACCGCTGGAAGCCTCTCCACCACTCTGACATGGCGAGGGGGGGGACCGGACCACACCATGTCATCTTTCATGTGGGAGCGCAAGGTTGCTCGGGTTTCTTTGAAGAAATATTAAACTAATTACCTTGGAGGACTGTTTCACAACAAGACAGCGGATTGCCCGGCATTGTGGGGGGAATTGGAGAAGGGATTGTAGCCAGAGCGGGGTGGGGGGGTGGGGGGGATGGTTGAGGGACAGCCATCGTTCAAAAGAGACAAGGTCATTGTTTCAATAAAGGACCAGAATGATCCAGAAATTCCTGAAAAGGGATGGAAGTGGGTTTGAAAAAGAGTTACTGAGACAGAAAAATGTAGAGCAGCTGTACAACTGAAGCACTAAGAAGTAAGGATGGTAGTCTGTGGTTCAGAGACTGATAAATTATTTAGCGTATAAGATCTGTCCTTTGTTGCCATCTCAAAAAAAGAGAATAATCCCACCCCCTAATGATCCCATTTGGAGGAGGAGGAAAAAAAAAAAAAAAGCACTTTCCCTGCAAATTACAGGAAACGCTGAGATTTTATTTTCCACACGTCGGATTGCTGCATAATGGATGGGATGGGATGGGATGATATCCCAGCCAAGCGAATCCCTCTCTGCACTCCCCCCGCCCCCCAAAAAAAAGTTTAAACAGGATTAGGGCTGAAACAAAGCAGTGAGGCTGAGCTGATTTAAGCCCGTCGGCGACGCAGAAAGATGCACCATGAGACGCCGCTGCTGGCAAGGCTGACTGTCCACCTCTCTGCAGCTTATCTCTGCCCTTTAAAGGCGGCGCAGTTACTGCTGTGAGGCTATCGCCGCCTTGATCTCGTCTGGACGTCCCTGATCCCGACGGAGCACCAGGTAGATTTGTGCAGCCCGGGTTGCTCTAACCCCCCAAAGGAATTCCCCTCGCGGGCGGCCGGGACATCCTTGACTGGTCGCTTACATAGTGATAAATCACTTGGCTTTGGATGACTGACATCTGCCACGCTACAGTCCCACAAGTACCTAGCGGGAAAACACACACACACACACACACACACACACACACACACACACACACACACACATATATATTTTGTGGGGACTCTCCATTCATTTCTATGGGACAAACCGCAATGACAACACTGACAGCCTTAACTCCTACCCAGCCCTAATCTTTACCTTAAATAACCAAACAAAATACAAGACTATTGGCATTTTTAGTTTTTTGATTGCAGTCAGAGATTTTTATACAATTGAGTTTCCCCTTGTGGGAACCAAAAAATGGTCCCCACAATGTCAAAATAACAGGTTTTTATCACAATGTGGTGATATTTGGTCCCCACAATGTAATATATACATGACTATCAGACAAACACACACACACTGTACGGACAAGCTGGGGCACAGCATCACATCTGCCACACAGCTTCCCCTCCCCTCCCCGATTTAGGACTGGATGACGACCACGCAGCAGGGCTCAGAGCGGTTGGACCGCCTGCTGGACCTGTAAACAAGCCTTCGCTCTGGCCAGCCCTCAGCGAGGAGATTAAGCACCGGGGCGAGTGGCCGCAATGGGCCATCCTTTCTCAGCTCTGACCCCTTGCAAAACCGTTAAGTTTTGTCACAATGCCAAAAAAAAGAATGTACAACTTGGGTTCTATGGTAAGAACCCAAGCCCAGGGTCTCCATGGTAACCATTGTCCTCCACGCAGGCTTAACATGTTCAGTGCGAGGTGGCTTTGTGCTTCACCACATTTCTTTCTACGACCCGTAAGCAACCGACCACCATCCCTCTTCCTTAGTCCTACCTAATTGAGATGCAAATTAATCTCCATCACTGATTACTCCCTTCTTAAACCGACTGACAACTACAGCTGTAATCAGGAGTTTACGACACGCTTTTTCGGGGGGGTTGGGGCTTTGTTGTCGACCTCAAGTTGGGGGGCCAATTAATTTTTTTTGTCAATGAGTCAAATGGACTGGCATCAATTACCAGGAGATATCGTCATCATCACCCCCCCAACCCCTCCCCCTAAACCTCAAGAGCCACGACCCAGGAAGTTATGCTAGGAGACAAGATACAGGCAGCTTAAGAACAGCTTCGTCTAGCTGCATTAACCAAAACCATTGTAATTTGACTAGAAAATGACCCTAATGGGGGGGAAAACAGAACTGACGATCGTGAACACAGGACCCATGTGTGCTGTGATGACACTTTCTCCTGAGTTTTTGCAATGTGTGTTTCTATCTGTACATTCTGTGTCCCTGTGTTACTATATGCAAACCCATTTCCCAGTGGGACTACTAAAGATCATCTGTCCATCTCTCTTGAACATTGGGGACGATAAATAATTAGACACATACCTCTGCAGTAAGACTTCGAGCTGGGGGTAAAACACAGGGAACTGTCACAGGTAAGGGGGTGACTGGGCAGCTTTGGCGAAAGGATACAAGCTTTGATAGAGCGGCAGGCGGGATTTGACAGCTCGGCTGGCGTTGATGCAGGTGGCACGGACTAGGGAGGGCAGAAGGGGCCCGGTGACGATGGCGCCGTCGAACAGGGGACCGAAGAAAGGGACCTGTGAGGAAGAGGAAGAGGCCGTGTCAAGTGGTGCCATGTTTCAGAACCACAACACTATGAATGAGCAGATAAACTTGGCAGAAGCACAATCAAGAAGCAACGTTAGATCAATTACACGAAAATGAATAAACGTAACGTCTGAGTAGGCTGAGAGGAACTGTGCGATTCTCCTCCAGTGATTTTAGATGCCTCGCTGGTGGCTGCAATTGCACCACGCTCTGTGTGTACGGTCCCTCGTGAGAGGGGCCAACAACCCAAGACATTCCTAGACCAGACCGACACACGCCATTGGCCGGATGTGGAGCGTATGCTAGCTATTCATGGAGAGCGCCTTAAGAGGAGGAGCATGGCTTGTGATGGTGAGGAAATGGGAGGGGGGTTTGGGGGAGGGTGAGACAAGAGCTCCCCACATGGTGGAATTCCTGTAATTAAAGGTGTTGGGGAGTCACAAGAATAAGAAGTCATGTTTTAGCCGGCAGGCGAGCGAGGCAGCTGCTCGGCGAGGCAGTGTGCTTACGCGGCGCTCCTGAATGGCTTCGGCTGAATTACTGGGCTGCACTTGGCAGGACAGACAATGGCCGGGCCTGATGCTTTCATTGTTATGACACCTGACAAAACGACCGATTCATGCTTTAAAAAAAAAAAAAAGAAAAGTTACATGAATTGCTGAGGCGTGTTCTGACTCGCCGTGGTTCTGAAAAGGGGAAGGGGGGGGGGGTTAAATGTATCCGAGTTAGATTGGGCCTGGAAAGAGGGCTAAAATGGATTTGCCACACGAGGGAGAATAACTTAAGCTGGGTGGAGAATAATGAGCGTCTTAAATCTCATGCTCTTAGTAACCGCTGAGTGGTAACAACGCTGCAGTCAACCGGCATGGTCGGCGGTTTGAATCCCCTAGCTGCTCTGCGTTCTTCCCATGCTGCGTGGCTTTCCTGTGTGTACCGCCAGGCTAACGGTAGGCTAACTGCCCGTAAAGTGTGTCTCTATGTGTCCTGCTAAGGGTAGGCAGGGTGTTTCTGTCCTGTCTGGGACAGACTCCAGGATGAGAGCTTAGAACCCAGACAGTAACCTCTGACCGGGGAATTAAAGTCAAACTGCAAAATACTCTCTCAGCTTTGCTCCCTGACTTACAGCACAGGCTGACTCATCGCCGTCTGACCGCAGTTCCACAATACGGCTCCCCGGCCACCTGAGGTGTGACAGAGCGTGACAAGCTGAGTGTTTGGCCCTGCCACCATCAGACTTCTGGCATGGCATTCTGGGACTGGCTGCGCTCTCTGTAATCACATGGCTGATGATGGCTGTGTAGCACAATACCGTGCACAGCGCCATTGACAAACGGCCCAGCAGTTTCCATTCAGTATTGTAAAAATGTTAAAAGAATATTAAATTACCAACAATTTATCGTCGTTTTCGGGGTTTTTAATGTGCAATTTAATGATTTCAAGGCTCTTCAGTCCAAAGCAGTCGAGTTACACTACCTGTGATTTAGTGAGTACAGAATAAAGCGGGTGTTTAGGCTGCCTTGTATCACTGATTTTATCAAACTGTATTTAGAGGTTCTCTCATAAGATATATTAACTGCTCCAGCTTTAACTGATCTGGGTTTCTGTCTGTGAAATTAAAAATAAAAATTCTACAGACTTCTGAAAGAGTCACGTGTTGGCACCCCCTAGGGGTCAGGAGGTCCATATGTGGACCAATCAGATGGGCCAGTGGATTCATGAAACAGCAGCATCCCCATGCATCTGTCAGGCAGCCGGCAGACGGCTGTGTCTGACTGCAGATACAGCCACACTTTAGGCTAATTAATTCGTCCAAACAGGCCACAAAATACACAGTAGGAGCTACACAGAAAAAGGCCACATTGGAAAAGGACAGTGACAATTTAAAGCAGAGAGCTGCATTTCTCCGGCGAGGCCAGCAGCCAGACCGGCACAGAAAAACAGAAAGTGCATAATTCCACGGAGCCGGTCATATGTTGCCATGGCGCCTGTAACCCGATAGTGGAGAGGGGATGGCGGCCTGCTGGGGAAGCGCACTCCAGACAGCAAAGCCTCTCAGGCTGGGAGGATCAGCAGCGTGCCACTCGAGGCCGTTGGGGCTCGGGGCTTCAGAGCCACATCCGCCAGTTTAATCTTCGCCTGGCCACGGTGGGAGGGATGGACAAATAAGAGCCAGCTGAGAGTGACCGTGGTCAGGGGGCACATTACCAATGCTGGACACTTCCTCAGAGAACTTATTATACATCCTGGATTCTTCCATGGATGTGGCAAAGAAAAAATACAAAGATGCCCAAAAACGCTTTGATTTTGAAAGCATGACATTTTTGAATGAAAAAAAAAAAAGTTTCCTGAGATTATTTTTTTGTTTTACTCATTGGACTGAAGTAAAGCTCGGCTTCGCGATTGTACATCTGGTCAGATAAAACTGGTCCCCCCCCGGACCCAATGGACATCGACCCCCACTGGCAGGGAGCAGGATGTGCACATGTGATTGGCCATTTTTTATAGGAACATGGCAGATGCACAGATAGGATGCACTAGATACACAGTGTCAAGTCATTTTTTGGTACAAAATATTGTGGTTATGGTCACAGGCTTGCAGAGCAAAACTCTACAGATTAAAAAAGAAAGTTGCATAATCTTGGTGAAGCCACACAAGCCATTGAACGTTTTCAACGAGTTTTAACGAGGGGCATTTTTCCAGGTAGGAGGACGGCATGACCAGGATGAAGACGGAGATCACAGTGCTGCCCAGTGCTGCCCAGTGCCTCTGGGGCCACAGCTGAGGCTCGGACAGGAGGAGGCTTAGGGGGGGTCAGACTGCTGAACCAGGCTGCAGTGAGATCTGAGCATTGCAGTGCTTCTCAGGGCAGTGAAGATTAAAGCTTTAGCGATTGCGCTGAAAATGGGATCTATGATTTTGGCCAGCCGGGAAAGGGAAGGACAGACAGAGGGGAGGAGCTTGACCAGGTCAGATTACGTAATAAAAATCCTTAACTAAAGCTTCCATACAGGCATCTAACCATAACAATCAAAACCTTAAGGTTAAGATTCCATGGAAGACATGGGTGGGGTTATAAAAAAAAGATTCCACTGCACCTAAAAATGCCCTTTTAGCGCTGAATATTTCCATTATTGAAACAAATAAGCTCATATCTACAGACAGCAGAGGCATAATGTGGAATAACGGAGTGGATTCTGCCCCGGGGATTGTGGGAGAGATGTAGGCGAGCACCTGCTAGGCATTACCTGTGGCTTCTTATTGATCTGGATGAAGAACATGTGGTTCTTCATGGGATACACGATGATCAGCACGTCCCCGAAGTCGGTGGGGATGATGCCCCGGCGGTAGTCCCTGGTGTGCTCCGACCAGACGATGTGCACCTCATCGTTGCCCAGGTGACGCAGCTGCGGCGGGGGGGAAGGGGTGATTAGGAGAAGCGGTAATGGAGTAATGGGGGAGGGGGGGCATTCCTCAGCTGATGTAAGGCTGTGGCCGCAATTGAAACACTAATCCAGCCCCTGCACTAATGAAGCAGCCCCCACTAAATGGCATGTAAACATACCCACAGGAACACAAAGGCAACCATTTAAACGTTACACAGAACAGGAATGCATTTAGGCTTTTTTATTTCATTAATTCTCTACATGATGATTTAATAGCAGAGACGGACGACGGCTGAACACTTTTAAAAGTTTCTGGCCATAGTCAAAGCTTAGAAGAATTAAGCAAAGTCAATGGTAAAGGCTTATAAAAATATAATGATAGCAAAAATGGTGCCTTTATCTATATATAGTTTGTGATTCACAGCAAAATTACCTTAGATTGCAAATGGAAAAAAAAATGTTTTCAAAAAATGATAATTTAGTCAAATTAACTTCTCAAGTAGTTACGCACGTCCTATTTGTATCAAAATAGAAACACTCTGCAAGGCAAAAAACAGGCCTTGATTTTAAATATTACTGTGTTTTTCCTGGGGGGGGGGTAGAGCCCTTTGACAGAGGGGGCAGGAATCGCTAAGCGGGGAAGAGGAAGTCACAGGACCGGTGCGTTCACGGCCACATCAGAGCATTTGCTGATGGAGGTGACAATATGGTGCCTTACTCACGGGTCCAACAGGACAGAAACGCATCTGCCAATCTCACGGCGCCTAATGAGCCATTACCAGAACACGCCCTGATCCACTAAAAATGCAATTAACACTTCATACGAGATGATTTGGATCATCTCAGTCGTGTCAACAGTCAACACAGGCGACAGAGTCCTGAGACTGAGCCGAATGACTCAGTCTGACGTCAGCTGTCCAGGTTGGCAGATGGGAGGGGGAGAGATTCACAGCCTTCAGGTTGCACATGGAGCCAAGCAGTAAATCCTAACTGACACTACCTCTCAGACACGGACATGGTCTGGTTAATTGTGGCCCCCTCATCAGTGAGGATCCCCCCCCCCAAAAAAACCCCCACTTCTTTACAAAAATAGCCCTCTCTCTATCTGGCATGTCGAGGTAATTTATTCGCCAGCGCAGGGGGTGTCTTTGGGCCCCGAGGGGTGCAAGAGAGAGAGCATGGACGGCAGGCCACTCGTCACCCTGACATCAGGCCTGGCGTGACCCGCCCCCCCCCTGGTCCCTGGTAACCACATTACCGCCAGCAGCTGCTCTGCCCCACAGCCCAGAAATTGGATTGAGGAATTCATGCCCCCCCACCTCAGTTTGCCAATGGCCTGATAAGAGTCCCTTTTCCCCTAGAGACAATCTGGCCTGCAAAAGGCTGCCACTGTTCGCTCATGCGATGGCCGGCGGGGGGGGGGGGGGGGCAAACTTAAAGTTTCATATGTAAATTTGAAGGAGACACTTCCTGTCGGTGAAGAGCCCAGCAGGCAGATAAGGCTGGCCTTTCACAGTCTGGCCCCTCCCCATCTCCCAGCCCCCCCCCCCCCTAGTTTCCATGGGCAGAGTGGACTGCCAATTTCTGTCCCGCCTCCGGCTACCAGAGTCTGGAAGGACGGAGGTGCAATTACAGGGCTCAGAGTCAAATGAATGGAGCGAAGCCGCCGGCACACTCAGCCGCGGCCGGCGGAACCTCCGGAGCTTCAGACGGGCAGCTGGAAATCGAATCGAGCGAGAGCTAACTAATTTCCGCGACCGCCGAGCAGAGGTTCAGCGTGGGGTCGGATTTTTCTTTCCCTTTTTTTATTCGGGGGGCGGAGGACGGGGGATGAGTTTCCTCTCTCTACAGGGCACGGCATGATAACATTGGCGATGCGGGGCCGGATCGCGGCCACCCGCTTCCCGGCGCTGTCGGGGACGCGGGCGCGGGCCGGGAGACATGCTGCCGCGGCTATCGATCTCCCCCGCGGGCTCGGCAAGAGGCAGATAAAAGGGTGCCGGCGAAGGCCGCTTAGCGCCGGCCCCTGGCGGGGAGAGATAATGGCTGAATCTGGGCCCTGGTCACACCGAGCCGGAGAGGGTGGGCTGGAGCTCGATGAGCACGAATCACTCCCATTACTCAATAGTCACATGCCTCTTCTCAGGCGCCTACCCCCCCCCCAGCAGAGCCGAGAAGCCGCCGCCCCTCCGCTGCCGTCGCTTATCGCACAAGATGGAGGGTTAGGGTTGCTGGGGGATTTCAGTGTGAGTTTTGGGGGGGGGGGGGGCTAAACGTAAACGTACCTTCTTGGTGAGGGAGTCGCTCGAGTCATGCAGGGCACGGCATGATAACATGCGCGTGGAGACGTGGAAGATGACCTCGGCGGTGGAGGTGGCGAAGTACGGCGCCGTGAGGCCTGTGCTCCCGTTCCGCTGCAGGCCTCCGATGAAGCCGCAGTGCGTGGCCAGTTCCACCTGCGGGGGTCAGCAGAGAGTCACGCTACGGGTGGGTACAGCTGTTTGTCAGGGGAGGATGTTTGTCAGTGTCGTGCTGTTAAAGCCAGCTCTACCTCACCCTGTCCATCCAACGCCAATTTACACGCTCCAGTGTTTACATGACAAGCCTTCAACTAAACAGATTCAAAATCTGTGGGTTAAACGGTATGTATGGAACTTTTGAATGCATAACACAGTATTACAACTAACCTTATTAAACACTGTGTCCCAGTAAACATGGTGTGTTAGAGCAAACAGCATAGAAAACAGCACTCAGATCACACAGATTACTGCAGAATGAAGTAAAACCACAGCAGGTGAAAGAACACAGGTTAAAAAGGAGCTCTGAACCCGAGGACGAGCACTACGCCTGCATCTACAGTGGCCATGGTGACTGTGTCATGTGACCGTGCCATGTGACCGTGCCATGTGATGCACGCGAGCGAGGCCGTACCTCCCAGCCCAGGCCGGACACAAAGTCCTCATAGGCCTGGCTGCCCTCCGTGTTGGACAGGATGGAGCACTTGTCCTCCTGGCCGTCAGCGATGTACAACACGGCGATCTTGTGCGTCTCCCGGCTGCGAAAGAGAGAGATATTAGTGGGAAAAAAGGCATTTAAAGTAGGGGTGCACCGATCGATCGGCGCAACGATCTATCGGCCTCGATCACGTTCATTTGAGGGGATCAGAAATCGACCATATTCCCATGAGATCCACCGATCTTAGTTATATGCTTTTAAATCAGCCTTTTCTCCCTTTCCCGAGAGAGGGGCTGTGCAGGCTGCCTCCCGCCCGCCCGCCCAATACGTCACACCTGTGCTGCCGTGCAGGAGGAATGTTCATTTATATTTGAGGACACTACCTCATGTTTTGTGAGTATTCATATCAATTTACTCAATAAAAATGGAAACATTGAAGTAATTGTCTTTTAGTTATGAAAGAAACAAGATCGGCAAAAAAAAAATCGAGATCGGCAGGTAAGGTTGTCTAAGGATCGGTGATCGTTGATCGGCCAGAAAACTGCAATCGGTGCACCCCTAATTTAAAGCTGCATCAAATCTTTCTCTATGGAAAAAGAGCAGCATTTATACCCTCTGACTGGCTGCTTGGCATGTAGGTACAAGCAGAGCTGAGCTAGTCCTCTGGGCATTTCTTTAACAAGCTTCAGTAATTAGTGAGTCCAAGTGCCTATTGATTGCTGTGTAGTGGCGCTAATCTGTGATCAGCCGAGGATGCTCTGATTTGGGGGGGGGGGGCTTTGACCAGTACAAGCTGAACTCCACAGCGGCAACATTATTTCCTGAGTTTCACCTGGGGGGAAAAAATAATGATGATGGAAAAGGGGGACTCACCACTGCCTGGAATCCAGATTCTTCAGTTCCCGTAAGAGCTTTGAGTTCTTCTTCAAAATATGAAAGCTCTTTCTGAAGGGAACAAACGAGAGCACATTCGCCTTTCACGCACAGCAAACCGTGCTTTCACAAGAGAAAAACAGAAACAAAAAGAAACAAAAAAGAAAGAAAAAGCTCCAAAATGATTAACTGTCAAACACAGGCGGAGGCTGGAAACAGGAATGACATCTTGTAATATCCTACAAAGCCGCACCGCAGCGAGAGCCTCTCAGAAGCCGTCAGTTCCAGGAAAATGAGGGAAGCGGGAAGCGGCAAAAGCCGCCGGATTTTATTTGGCACCTAATGCTGTTTGTTGGCGCCGCTGAAACTTTCGCACCTCCTCGGCGTCCGGGCCTCGCCGCTCGATCCGGAGGCGAAGGGCCTGCCGGCCGGCCTCAGAGGGGCCTCTCTCACCTCCATTAAAGGTGAGGGTCTCTAATTTGAGCGGGAATTAAAAAAAAGGCGGGATACACCGAAGAGGACCTGAGTGAAAACAGCAGGGACGAGGGCTCGCCTGCGTGGCGGGCAGATTAATTCTCTGCCGGCCAGCCGCCCTGTGGGAGGGAGGGGAGCTCAAATTGAAACTCCGGGGGGATAAATGGCAGCTTTTATTCAGAGGGAGAGGGCTGGATGGGACGGCACACAAGCGAGTAGCCCCAGATCACAGGAGCGGCGGATGCGGGCCAAACAAGCCAGATTGCATCCCGAAATGCACCAAGCAAATATTTCAGTGACACACAGAGCCCCCCCCCCCCATGACTGTATTCACCTGACATCCCCCTTGTACGATTTACTGATTAGAGAACCGGAACGGCAAGGGAAACCATCGTCCCCTGGGCTTAATTTGTCTATTGATCAGACACACAGAGAATAACAGAAGGAAACATGAGATACCTAAGGCTGAAACTCCACCCCCCCACAGCAGACCCTGAAACAGATCCACCGCACTGCTGGACACCTAGCTACCCATGGGGAGTGGGGGGAGAGAGGTTCTTCCCTATGTTTTGCATCTGATTTTTGAGGGTGGGGGGGGGGGGGGGGCAGGTCACCTGCGGTCCCAGGAGTTCATGCCCAGGTCGTTGAGCAGCAGCCTGCAGAAATAAAACGGGGCCTTGGGCTCCTGGTGCGAGGGCTCCGTCTGACAGGGGGCGCTGGCACCCTCGCTGTCGCTGCACCGCCGTACGTGATCCTCCTCCTGCTCAGTCTGGCGGTAGATGGCCTCCAAGATGGCGCCTTCCTGCGTGGCAGTCATGCCGTAGGGGGAGGGGCCTGGTTGGTTCAGCCCGAGGCGTGGTTGGGGCAGGCACTCAGGGCTGCTTTGGCCCAGACTCTCCAGCAACTCGTCCAGGACATCCTCCCCATCCTCTGCATCGCCGACCACTAGGGGGCCCCGCTGCTCAAGCGGGGGCAGCAGCGTCTCAGACGCCGCCGGCCCGTCCAGGGGCCTGTGGAGAACCTGGCCGTCCCATGAGTACTTGCCCGAAATGTCCCGTACGATGACCCGCACCCCGGGTGCTCCCGTAGGCTCCACAGGCGGGAGCTGCAGGTACGAGACCAGGGCGCTGTCGTTGAAGACGAAGAGCTGCAGGTTGGGGCTCTTGAAGACCTCCGAGGACAGCTCCGACGACTCCACGTACGGGTTGTCGTGGTTCTCGCTCACCAGACTGTGCAAGAGGGCGGGGCCTCCGCTCAGCGGATGGTGACCCAGGTGGTTCACGAGGTGCGTCATCACCATGCGGGCGGTCAGAGGGATCAGCTCCATGTTCCGCCTCTTCTTCTCTGAGACATGAAATGGGGGATGCGGGGAGGATGGATAATTAAGTGAGAACTGGCAACCCATACATTTCCCCAGATGAAAGTAGCCCACCTTCAATTACACACGTATTACCAGGCCTGCGGGCCTGGCAGAGGAGCAGAAAGCTGGCTATCATCTCTGCTGGGGAACACGCCTCGTCCAGTCCCCTCTAACAAGCCTAACGGAAGCTAATGGCCGTGTGCTGCACCTTACACATGCATTAGCTGCTGCATAAGTACAGCCAGAGGCACAAATAAGCCCGTGGGCCCAATTGTCTTTCCCTCCACCCACTTATCCCGCCGTTCGTCTGCCCTTTTATTTAAGCCCACTTTTTCTTTTCCCTTTTTTTTTTAATAAAGAGTAAAAGTTGCGCTCTCGGCAAAGTTTGGCGAGGCTCCTTTGTTGCGCACAGATGAAAGTGTCATTTACAGGCTAACGCTAACATTTGCGTTGTGCTGGGCCTCCGGACCTATGCGTACGCGCATTCTGCTATTTCCTCCCCTCCTTTCATACCGCTGAACAAAAATAGTATTCAGTCATCACATACAAGAGGGTATTTTTTCTCCCATTTCCCCCCCCCCCCTAATAGTTTGGCCCACTCGCACTTTGTATGTAGCTCCTAATCATTGATGACACCTCTGAAAAGGGCATTCAGTTCTTACAATGGTGAAAAGATCCCATGCTCAGTAAATGACTGCCAGATCTTTGTGATATGATGAATAGATCTACTTACCTTGATACTGAATTAGAATTATGTAAATGCTCATGGCTACTCAAACTGAAAGGGATACATTTTTATTCCTTATTAAGCCAAAAAAAATAAGAAATGGCGGCATTGTGATAGTGCTATCAATACAAGCATGCGGCTTCAAAGGCAGCGCGGACGGCCGCATTAGCCGGCGGCCCTTTGAAGTCACCTAATCGATATGAGGCACAGGAAGGCTGTCGCTAATCATTAGCTGCTTTTTTTTTTACGACCCCCAGTTCTGCAACTCCTTGCGACGTCAGATCGGTCCCATTAGGCGATTTCGACCAGGCGGCCCGCACGCGAGGGGGCTGCAGCGGGAGCGAGACGACACCGCGGCGAATGGTGGATGCGTGAGGCTCGCTGCGGTTCCGATGGGGAACTTTGGGGGTGAGGGGTCGCATCGAGACCGACGCAGCGGCGCCATTTGCAGTTTTGGAGCCATATTTTGGGGGGAGGTGTGGCACGGCAATCTGATTTCACCACCGGGCCTCTGAGCAAGGCCGTTAACCCCCCCTCCTCCAGTTGTTTCGGGGACTGTCAGACCCTGCATTCTCAACAACACTTTGGATAGAAGAGTCTGCCAAATAAGAGCAATATTAACATGCCGCCATGACACCAGAAAGCAAAAAGGACAGGGCAATATGTTTGGTCACACTTCCAGTTTGGCTCCATCACCACATTGTGGAGTCTGAGGAGGTGGGAGAAGGGAACTGCTGGAGTCCACAGGTCAAAGCACCGTGGTAAAGTAACTGTGGTAACACAGGCCACCGAATGGATGGTAATACAGCAAATGATAAATGACAATTCATCACAATTTACAAGTATGTTCACATAAATTTTTATACACTTTTAACACTACGATGTGTATCTACAGTGTTCCTTGTAAACTGCCTTGAATCTTCTTGCTTGTTATATTATAGTGACACACATCATCCAATGCAAATTTCTTGCATGTTAAACAAAGCTGACCAATCAGCATTTTTCCCCACTTCTGATTCTAGTAAAAGGAGGAAATTTGGTTTGCTTGCTAAACATCCAAGTCTGCTGATCACAAGCAGGCTGATCACACGAGGCAGTCGTGCCCGCAAATGACAGCTGTGGTGAGGGGTGGAGTGGAGGCAGGCAGCTAGAGCTTACCCTCGGCCACGGTGAGCAGGTTGCCGAAGTCAGAGGCAGCGTGCGGGACCGGCGGCTCAGAGCTGCGCACGGCGCCCAGGGACAGGAAGGGGTCGTAGTCAGTGTATGAGAGGTCCGCTAGACTGAGGAGGTAGTGGCTCTGCTGGGGGTACAGGTGGGAGCCAGAGACACAGCAGTGCAGCACCTGTGACAGGAGAGACCCGGATCAGCATCCTGCGAGGATCAGCATCCCGCGAGGATCAGCATCCAACGAGGATCAGCATCCAACGAGGATCAGCGTGATTACCAGGATACAATTTACCATCTCAGTACCGGACCTGACCAAACCCAAAAACACCTCTGTGTACACACTGAGTCACTGTGTAATCAGGATTACACTCTAACTTGCCATGTTTACGGCGGTGTGGCACGTGTCCAAATGCGCCTTATTTTCCCTTTTTAATGAACCTTTTTCCAATGAATAGATCTCCCATTAAACATTTATCTATCGGTGAGAGACAGAACGGTCCCATGACATGATACCGTTAAGCACACAGGAAGTGGGTTAAAAACATCTTTACAAAACAAAACACAAAAGGACAAACCTGGCAAAACGTTTCCTGAGCAATAAATATTAAGGAGCCCATTAAAAACTGAATAGGGACTTTTCAAGAGTAACTGGTGTTTACTGGGAAGCTTGACAGTACGCTTAGTTCAGTTAATGTCTGTAAGAAAACTGCAGATGCTTTTTCTTCGGTCAAGCGACCACAGCTAAGCTGGCATTTAATCACCTCAAAATGACCGCATGTTCAGCTCTCAACCACAAGCAGAATTGTTTGCTTTAAGTGATTCTTAAGCCAAGACACTGTAGCCGTGTACCGGTGCTGTTCTCCTTAACAGAAGCAGCCATTTACACGGCAACCTACATCTAATGATTTCATTTATATTTAACGATTCTGGCTCCGGTTCACTCCGGTTCATTCCCGCACGCGGTTCAAAGCGGTCTTCTGCTATGTAGTGCGCGAACAGCAGCAGGTTCCACCTCTGTGGAAGATGTGGGCTTGTAAATCGAAAGCTGTCTGCTTTGATCCTCCAAGGGGCCCTGCTGTCATACCCTTAAGCGTGGGGCTGACGCTGAAATAGCTCCGGTGAAAGACCCGCTTGCAGGAAACGGTGCAGTGACGTGCCGTTTTGGATGAAAGCGGCGGCCGCACGCGGCGCCGACGCCCCGGCCTGCGCCTCCTCCCGGACTTCATTAGCCTCTGCTGCGGCGGAGCGGCGGGCCCCGGCTTAGCGCGGCAGCCTGTAATTAGCCGTCCCGGGAGGCGCGGGCGAGCAGCTGAGCTGTGTAAAGTTCATCCCTCAGCAAACAGTGCGAGGAGCGCTGATCCACCGGCTTCTGTGCAGCTTACCGAGGCATCTGTGCCGGCACACCCCCCCCCCCCACACACATCCTTGCCACACTCCACACAGGCGACCGGATGGAGCCCCTCGCTGTCAAACATGGGGGCGAAGACGTGCGGTTTCAGGCGCGACTGGGCGGAGGCCAGCATGCGGCCCACACAGCCGTGACTGGTGTCCTTAAACTCCCACCATCTGACAATCGTGGCGGGCAGGTGGGGGCGAGAGTCCTCATCGCTCACGTTTGCCCCCCTGACACTGGAACCTTGGATGCCGTCATGATGCCGTCGCTGGGCAATCTGATGATTCATGGTGGAAAACGGTCTTCCATGCAAATCGGCTAACGACGTCCATGAGCGCTCCATCGTCTTTAGGGGGGAATAGGAAGTTCGGGGTGAAAGGCAGCCGGCCGGCGCCTGCTTGGTGAATGGGCAGCTTTGGCTGCGCATAGCAACAGACGGTCACGTGAGAGCCCGGGATGAATGAGCCCTCGAATGTCTGCTGGCACGTTTGCCTTAAAGCGAGAACCGATTCAATTCAATGGCTTTTAAATATACCAAGGTAAAAAAAAAAAAAACCCAGTGTTTCCTTATTGAAGCTGAATATAATTTCCCCCCCCAACACATACACAAATCATTTAACATTCATGCCAGCTCATTGCAAAGGAGACTGTCCTATGGACGTTATCCTGAACACATTTCCCAGGGCCTGAATGAAAGCTTCCACCTGACGTGATCCCATGCGTGTGGAGCTTGATTTATCACATGTAGTATGTGAGCTGCTGTTTGCCATGTTCATGCATGTGGGCTGCGTCGCATAGCTGCCCCTGTCCTGAGCGGTTCAACCCCAAACCAGAATGTTCTCTCTTCAGCTTCGACCTTCAAGGCTAAAGTTCCAAGCAACTATCAGAATCTCTGCTGCACTGTTTACTCTCTTTGCTTAATGAGTTCTAATAAATTACGTAGGTAATTACGGCCGGGCCACGGCTGCCCGGGGCTTTGGCTTCTTGACCGCTGATAATTTGGCACGAGTGCCTGTAAAACTGGCCAAGTCTGTCTCTCCTGAGGGAATGAAGCTCCCGTCCGAAGGTAAAGAGCGGCTTGAAGAAGCAGCATGCCTTGTTAAGCACGCTGAGAGGAGCTCTCGGGCCGTCTGGAGTGACGTGCGGAGCCGCTGTCTGTCCCACAAGCCCTCGTTTACAATAATCTAACATCGACGTGTCGAAATGCTCCGTTAGAGACACACGCGGATTGAACCGTTATGGTGGATACGGGCCGTGTGGGATCAGGAGTATCGGACGCCACACACACATGAGTGGCTGGCCGGGCAGGACCGCCGACGCCCAGAGCCCGGCGAAACCCACCCTGTAGATGTAGTCGAGCAGCGGCGTGCTCTGCGAGGATGGGTCATCCAGGAGCGGCATGGTAATGGGTTCCAGCAGCGTGCTCAGGGGGAGGGCCATGCACCAGTCCAACAGGCAGAGGAGCAGGGACACCATTAGCTGGGAGAGGAAGAGTGGGGAGAGGGGGAAGAGCCCATCCATTAGTCGCACCACGACGCTCCACGTGCCTGTCCCTCACCACAACAAGCCTGGCAAAAATAGCCAGCCGGCAGCAGCGGGGGAGGGGGCGGTAGGACCCACCACTGAATTCCACTACAAATGCACTCGGCAAATGAGGGAAGCAATGCTATAAAATAACCCTGTCATTTTTTGGTTTGTTGTGCTGTGTTATTTATTTATTTTTTTTTACCTTTTTATCAGCCTCCACCGTTGAGTGCTCCGCGCTCGGCAAAAGGAACGCTATCGTGGCCACGAAAATCTGAAAAGGGGGATATTAGAGCTGAGGCATGCTGGGAAAAAAAAGAAAGTGCTGGGCATTCCTTAGAAGAGGGCCTGCGTGCGTACCTCGGTGATTCTCTTGGGGAGGGAGTGCTCGTACTGCTGCAGCTGCCTCCAGTGGTAGATGAGTAGCTGAANTAAGTAAGTAAGTAAGTAAGTAAGTAAGTAAGCAAGTAAGCAAGTATCTATCTATCTATCTATCTAATCTGTCTGTCAATCTATCTATCACTGAAGAAGGGAACGCCACGGGACGCCGACCAGACCCAAAGCTGCTTTGGCAGCACACACCAGCCCGGACTCACCTCCATCGAGTCTGAGTGGAGGACCCTGGCGGCGGCTGTGATGAAGTCTCCCACCAGCAGGGTGAAGCCGGGAAGCCCCAGGGAGAAGAAGCGAGGGGAGCAGTGGCGCATCAGCGTGTACAGGACGTCCTGTGGAGAGGCGGCCATGACACATGCTTCATACACACTGACTAAGGCGACACTAGCAAACGTACAACAACATGGAGCCTCACGGGGCAGGATGGTGTCACACCCAGGCTGTCACACTTTGGAATGTGAACCCCAGTCAGTGCCACAGCAGATTGGGGGGGGGGGGGGGGGGGGTCAGAGGACATAAAACAGACAGCATAGGGTTAATGCACACAAAGGCTGCCGCACTATTTTATTGGTTTTCGCCAAGCAGACTACATTTACGGTACATTTTATTATTTAGATGATGCTTTTATTTAAAGTGATATCACTCTGCTGACTCTGGGATTTGAGCCAGCGACCTTCCGATCACCCTAATCTGTTAAGGTAGCAGTGGATACCTGCATCAACTTAAAACCTGTACCGGGACTGGAACAAACAAAAGGAGATCCACAAGTCCAGGGCTCTGTAGAGCAGTGTATCCCAACCCAGACCTCGGACAGTCCACGTTTTTGCTTCCTCTCAGCTCCTAGCACACCTGTACCAGGTATTCGGTGTTTCTGATTGGCTGGAAGCTGGGAGGGAGCAAAAACGTGGACTGTCCAAGGGAAACACTGCTGTAGAACATTGATCTTCTGCAGCTTCCCAGGACTGGAGGAAACAGACGCACCAGCACCCAATAGACAACGCAGCTAAAATAGTTGCTAGCAGATTGGAAACGACTTTGAATAGTCAGGCAGCTAACAGCTACATCTGGTCCATGTTTGTCAACATTTTTCTGTATTTAGCAGATGCTTCTATTCAAAATGTCACAGCAGAGTGAGCCAGTCCCTGGAGCAACCAAGGATCTTTCTCCAGTACATCACTCTGGTGACCCTGGGATTTGAACCAGCAACCATCTGATCAGAGACACAGAACCCTAACCCCCTAAGCCACACGCCGTGTCCCTCACTGGACCCAGCTCTCACCTTCAGTGAGACCCCGAGGATGTTTATGGCCTCCTTGACCTGCGGGTGGTTGGTCTGCTTCAGCAGCTCCTCACAGATCCAGATCCCCAGGCTGCAGATGGCGACGCACCTGAAGGAGAGGGAGTCCGTCAGGGTGAGGGCGGGACGGCGGCGTGGGGGGAGTCCGTGAGGGTGAGGGGGGGATGGCGGCGGGGGGGGGAGTCCGTGAGGGTGAGGGGGGGAT